AGCATCTTGTGGTCATGAGCTATAGCAAGTAGTGTAAATGTGAAAGGTATCGCCAAGGTGTATTTTGAAAAGGGATAGGGGGTGCATTGATTACATGTTCCGGGAGGGCGTTCCAAGGCTGTGCCACTCGAAGGGAGAAATAGTTTCGCCGACATTCCAGGCGACTGTACTGCGTGACCAGCTTAAACTGGTGACCTCTTAGTGAGGTGCTTGGAATGAGTATTAGAAGGGAATTGCAAGAGTGGTTGGGATTTCTCAGGATCTGGTACACAATTATGAGATCGCCCCTTAGACGCCGATAACGTCCATTGTATATTTTGAGGGTCTTCAGCCTGAGTGGGTAGGGGAGGCTGGTCAAACCTCTGACGCTCTTCGTTGCCCTAAGTTGTGCAGTATCGAGCACGGTGGGATTGTGCTTGAGCCAGGGTTGCCCACGCTTGGATAGCGTATTCCGCGTGCGGCCTCACTTACGCACTAAGCATTTTTGGAAAAATCCAAGGGTCAACCATCCCGAAAACTGCGAAGCAGGCTGAGGTACTGGTCCGCTTTCTTAGCTGTCTTTTCAGTCTGCCTGGAACAATCGAGGTCATCTTGAACTATCACGCCGAGATCGCACTCGTGAGAAGCCCGCTGTAGAATTTGTAGTCCTAGGCGGTAATCGTGCACACTCTTGTGCCGTATACTGAGAACTTTCCACTTGTTGACGTTAAAAATGTAGCATGTCCTCGATGGACCATGTGTACGCTTTGTCCAGGTCATCCTGTAAGACTGTGTGATCCTCCACTGCAGCTATAGTGCGTCATACCTTTAGGTCATCAGCAAATAGCAAACAGTTAGAAGATAGCACACTCGCGAGATCATTTATGAAGGCCAGGAACAGGCGGGGTCCAAGTACCGAGCCTTGAGGTACGCCGCACTGAACTTCGATGGATTCTGATAGGTTGCTTCTAACCCTCACATTCAGGTGACGTTGCACGAGAAAGTCTCCTATCCAGCCCAGAACAGGATCGCCGATTCCATATTTCTGGAGTTTGTGGAGGAGAATGCGATGGTCTATACGGTCGAATGCCTTTGAGAAATCCAAGTAGGCCGCGTCGACTCCTGCACCAGCGTCCACAGATTCCGTCCAGTTTGCACGAGCAATCAAGAGATTAGTTGTACAGGAGCGATTTTGGCGAAATCCATGCTGTTCCGGAACGAGAATTTTGTTGTTCTCCAGGTACCCCATTAAAGCCTCAGCTACAATGGACTCCATAACCTTGGAGATCACAGGAAGTAGTGTTATCGGGCGATAATTTGCTGGTTCAGCACGGCTACCACTTTTGTAGATAGGCGTGATGATTCCGTGCTTCCACATCGTGGGGACGTGCATCTCGTTCAGACATCGTTGAAAGAAAATTGCTAATGGTCCTGCCAAACTCATGGCAGCAACTTTCAACGCCTTCGGCCGAATGCCGTCCGCACCCGGGGAGCTGAACTCGCGCAGAGACATCAGCCTCTTCAGTACAGCTGCGGAGGTGAACGATATGTGATTAAGCCCTGATGGCGGCGTTATCTGCTTAGGCAGGATGTATGATGATTGCGCGCTTTGGAAGGTACGGCCAAATTGTTGTCCAAGGACGTTGGCCGCCTCTTGTGCGGTTTGGGCTAACCCGCATGCTGTGTGCAGAGCAGGAATACCGCGCTTAACACGGCGCAAATTGTTTACGTGTCTGTATAGCAGTTTGGGATTGGAGCAAAACTTTTCCACTAGACCTTGTTGGTTCTTAAGTTTATCCTCCCGGACGAGTTTGACACAGTGGTTCCTTTGTATTGTGTAGACATCCCAGGTATGGTCGTTCGGGGAGGCTATGTAGGTGTGCCATGCCAAGTCCCTTAATGCCATGCACTTACGTGTCCTGCTCCTTACGAAAGACTTCATCCTTTTAAGCCGGTAGAGTTTGGTTTCAGATGTCCTTGCCACGAGCTTGGTAAATATGTTGAAGAATTCACCGCAGGCCACCTCAGGGGTTAATTCAGCTAAGAACGACCAGCTGGTTGCATCAATGAGGTCGGACAGGTCTTCATAGTTGGTTACGACACGATATTCCTCGGCATGCTCTTTAGGATAATCCGCGTAGCACACGTAATGAAACACTAGCGTCGCATGATCACTGCGGCCCAAAGGAGTATCGGTTATCACTCTCTCGAACATCAATTCTTCATTGGTGAATATTCGGTCCAAAATGGATAGCCTGTCAGTTCCCCTGAATCTGGTGGGCGTAGTGACGTGGCCATAAAGAGGGTAGTCTGAAACCAGATCTTGCAAATCTGCTTTGAATTGCTCTCCTGGTGTGGCCTGGGATTCGAGGGCATGTAAGTTGAAGTCACCGGTGACTAGAATGTGAATGTACTTCCTGTTTATCACTTGTCTAAAAGCAGCCATGAAATTGCAGTCCATCTCAGGAGAAGACGACGGTCGGCGGTAAACAACAACCAATAGGCCAAGATCGTTCTCTCTTAGCCGAAAATTACACCAAATGGTGTCGAATACGCCAGTTTCTGAATCGTTTATGCGTTCGCATTGCATGTTGTTACGAAAAGAAAGGGCTACCCCACCACCTTTGTCGGTTGGATACTTCCGTACAACGGACAAGCCTGTTATTGCAATTTCAGCATACGTTATCTCGCAGCGTGACCACGTTTCCGTGACAGCAATAAGGTCCCAAGCTACAGACGCGTGTCGAAGTCTTAATTCAGCTAATTTGCTGAGTAGACCTTAGGCATTTGTGCACATGAATGAGAGATTCTCGGAGACCAAAAGTGTGTTAGATTGGATGGATGAAGCAAATGAAATTACTCCGACCACTAAAGGGTACCCGACTTATCGCTTTTTGCATGGGTTGCATACACTCGAGAGGTATTTAATAAATGAGCAGGTATCAGATGTCCCGATTCCCGGTGTTTGCTCGTGCTCTGCTGTGCCCCTCCGGGTAGTATGGCTACTCTTGAAACCGTCCCCGAGTCGGGTCCTGCAGTTGGTGTTATCCTTAAGAGTTGTGCCTTTAATGTATTGTCATTAGAAGGTTTTGGTTTTCCTGCTGTTTTCAGACGAATTTATGTTGCCAATCTGCAAAGGAACTTAACCCAGTTCGCTAGTAGGGTTTGCGCCATTTGTACCCCTCCCTGCTTTGGATCATTTCAAATAAAGATAACATGTTGTTCGTAGCTCCCAAAAGTTCGTTATCAAAAGCTTTCCAATATAGATTACTTGAATCATGCTTTCCTGCAAGATTAATGTGGCAAATGGACCCAAACAGATGGCGCAAATTTGAGAGACCACATTTTACCATTTGCCCACTTTAAATCATCGATCGCTGCACATCGTGTATTTCTGTATGCGAACGTTTGATTTTTATTTTACCCTTACGTCAGCTACCGGTGCTTGTGTCTCGGTAAACATACCGCAAAAGATCCACAAATATTTCGACTTCATGGGACATGTCAAGCACTTGCTTTTGTCTCATGATTACTCACTCTTCATTGTTATTTTTCACCTAACGTCATCCAGTGAGATCGAATCGTTTCGATGTGTGCATTTTTTCAGGCTGTCGGCATGCAAATTTAATTTAAACATGAAACCTTTTGCTTATGTGTTTGTCCAAATATCTGGAAGATACTGTGCATCAGACCCATTTCGCGGTTTGCCTCCGCATCTCATATTACAACAAGTCACCACCTGAAATTATTTGAACGTTGGACTGCCCATGCTGATTGCATCAATAATTTTCATTCATATTCACTCATCTGTGCAAAAAGATACGTGGGTAGTAGATGAGTGTCTTATTTTGTTGCATTCGCGAACACATTCCGATGCATTTGTACAGAGGCAATACGATGTTTTCTAAAGGCTTCATCCCGTTGAATCCCTTAGATTATGATTATGCAGACTCTTTGATTGACTTCAGGTGCGTCTGCAGTCTTCCTGGGCGTATCTCGCATGGATCAGAGAAACGCCTCCTATATTTCGTGCAAACTAGTTTCATCAAGCAAATCAAGCAGGATTTTGCGTAATTCCCCAAATGATATTCCTCTTAACGTCACCGTGACCTACTGCTTCTGTTGTGTGATACTTTGATTCGTACACAAGTCAAACAACTCAGGACAATGTGCTCGGAGATGTCATAACTGTGCATGAATTCAGTGGGATTCACTGTCATCCAAGACATACGCCGATGTCTTCTGATGGCCATCTGGAAAAAGTTTCATCTTAGCAGAGAGTTATGCCCTTTAATTATCATTTTATGCTACTCTTGACCACAGTTTATACAAAAGCTCTAATGTCGCCAGGATCAAGAACGCAAGAATTCACATAGTATACGAAATTATGGTTAATCTGACAAAAAGATGTCAACAAATTAACACATCTTTCTGGGTAATAGCAATTTTAAAATGATTGATGCTTACCTGTCGCTAGTCAATATGTGGCTCCCAGACCGTCCACGAAGGTTGATACAAGTACAGAAGGACGTACAAAAATGTAATACAACATATAACTGAATAGTAAGTTCAAGATCAAGAGCAGCGCTGTCGGGCAAATACTCATATTTGCATGATTACTTGGAAACAGCGTACCATTTGATGTGACTTGGAGCACATTTACCCATTGCAAATTAGACAATAGATCATTTAATCTTGTAGCATTTGAACTAGTATGTGGAGTTTATACGGGCAGAATCTATGGTTTACGAGGAGCATTTTCGATGACATCTTTCTGCGGTCTACCTGGAATGAACAACAGTTTGGTTTTGCGCACAATGTTTAGATGCGTTGTGGCGTGTGCGAAAATGTGCCGTGACAGCCACGATTCAGCAAGACGTGACGCATTGAGGCTTTTATTCTATCGTTGGAAAAGTTATGCTGTTTGATGTACCTACCTCAAATCCATTTGAAAAGAAATCGTAAAAGTCATACATGAATTGAACAATGAAACCAGTTACTATACCGAAGCTATTTATTTAATGAATTTTCAGTGGGAACTCTGCGGTCTGTTGTGGTGGGAAAATGTTTGCATCACAGTTAAAGCAAACCATTTACTCAAATGTATTGGAGTAAATAGAAAGGTGCTACAAGATCATCTGATCTCATTAAACTCCAACGTGCATCACTGGTATCCAATTGCTATATATTCACATACATGTCAACCTATAATCTGAACAGAACTAATAGCATTATACATGCGTGAATAAGAAAATATTACGTATGCTTACAACTGTTTTAACACATCACCTAGATGGCTGTTGAATTGTTCGCTGAGCTTGCCAACCTCAGCGAGCATTTCAACAGTTATCTGAACAACCTGAGCTACCAGTATTCAATTTTACATCACCTAGAGTTAGTTTCGAATTTAACATGAATTTTCCCTTAGCGTCTTCCAAATTACAATCCACAAAATTTATAATAGCTACCATATACAAATAAGCCTCATTTAATAATAATAGTACGCCGTCTTCTCGTATAAAGGAAAGTGTACCAAGATGGGTTCAAAGTGATGTTGATCAGATTGCTTACTCTCGTCAAATTCCATGTTGACGCAGACCGCCGTATTCCTCGATATGCAAACACCTATTTGACTCTGGCCACTGGATAAATCTGGGCTCAGCGTTTAAAGTTGTGTTACGTCACACTAATCCCCATGTTCTTCGGTTTGCTGGGGCTGTCGATATAAGCCGGATTAAGCCAGCCTTGTGTGTTCAGAAACAATTATTTGTCAGATTAAAGCTGCCTTGGACGTAGGTGTAAACTTCCGTCATTCATTTTGCACCTTAAGCTTGTCTGGTTGCACTCACTGTTAGCTATATCTATGCATATCGGTTATTTTTAATGGTACTGAGGAGACAATACGAAATGCATGCACCTACCAGCCTTCATCTTCTTTCCATGCTTTTCATTTAAGTAGCCTAGAAAATAACTTCCACTCTTTATTCTTAATTGTTTGCAAATGTTCGGCCGTTGCACTGCTCTCCTTATGTCATAATATCCGATTATCTGAAACGACGGCCTCTAACGGCATGGCATTATTTTCCATAACCTTTCTTCAGAACGCACTAAGAAGCCCGAGCTCACGACGCAAACCCCACTGAGTACAGAAGCCCAAACAGGTAGGAGACAAACGGCTTTAACGTTTATTCCCATTTTATATGTCATGTTGGCTGGCATGCAATGGGACTCAAAACATCATTCGGTTACAAATAGTATGGGTAAGAGATCACTGGAAATGGGAGCTATGGTACTCATGCAGATGAAGTCTTCTTAGAACGTAAGCAATTTGATTTATCTATCTACAGTGTAAAAAGATAATTACTTACAAGTCCCATTTATAAAACATTCTTTTGTCAGTCGGATACCCTTTCATCGAGTGCCTACGGGCACCGTAATGGTACTTTGCCATCTGTTTGCAGATAATTAATATCATCTCACAGCGAGGTAGCAAACTTCTGCGTCAGCAAAGACTAGAAATATTGGTCGACTGAGATACAGAAAAATCCAACACGGGCTTCCATTCAAGCATGACAAGCGAGAATCCTGTCTCCCTGAGGCCTATGTAAATACAATTGATGCACCTTGAAAATCAGCAGAAATCTGTGTACGCTTCTCCACACTACTCACAAAAGAATGTAGTAATTATTTCTAAAACAGGCTCGATGTCCAATTTATCGGTGACAACACAGCAGACCAACCGAAAATAATAATCCAGATAGGGCCAAACAAACGTTAACAACCGCACTACAACAATGGCACAATAAAATATTCTGAATTAATAGCGCTTGAAACAGAATATACGGTGAACAATATTGAAAGCCCGTCCAATTTGTCCAATTAACAGCGACTCAAATAATGGACGACGCTTAAGCTATCTGGAAAGTGAAGTATGATGTTTTAATCACGTTGGCCATATAACTCAAAGCAAGACAAAACACTCAAATACGAAGGACTAAACACTGTCTGACTCTTGGGCAATAGGCACAAAGCAGACCAGCTCCTTTGCATAAATATATCACACCGGATCGTCTCGAAAACATGCACAGTGATCTAGTGCTTCAGTTAATTAGAAAACACAAGTGTTGTTATTTCAGTCTTCACAAAATATTACGCATATAGAATGCGAACAGCGTTGGTTTAAATACCGGGTTTAAATGAACAACGCTATGGACAGCTTGTCTAAATGTTCATTTTTGACCCACAAATCTCTGCTGTCTTCCACATAATATGACTAATAGGCGGTGCAATTTGCAACCATAGGCACCTGAGTATTTTACGTTTTACCACATCCTCGGAAAGAATAATACAGCAAGTGATTTTAAGTCGACGAATACACTTCTAACGCGTAGACGTTTTCCATCACATCCATGCAACATTCGCGAGGTGCAGGTAAATTCGTCTGATGCGAAAATCCCATCAGAAATCTGAGCACAGCACTGCTAATTGGATTGCTTTCATTCTGGTGACACTCCAGCCAGTCAGCACCAATTTAGGTAGCATCTAAATTATCCTGCTCATCAGACTGATTTGGAATTATCCGTCATACTTACGTAGTCGCCCATAACAATGAGACAGAGACTAATTCCCTTACCTAAGAAAGGCACAGCTCTCAGAATCTTTAAATATTAACATGGTGGTTAAACTATCTATTTCTGCAGCCGAAACACGTGGACACAGAAATGTAAAATTAAATCACAGTTAGCCGATTGAAATGGGTTCGGCCCTCGCAGCTGTCAAAGGACCTGTGTTTTGACTGCAGGCATTTTAGCTCGATACGAGTCCTCAAAGAGGAGTTCTACGCCAGTTCATAGGGTACAATGCGGCCTGCTAATAGCCAGCACGAATGTTTGCAGTATAATGAACAAGCGCGATGTGCTTTGTCGCTTCTTTGCGTCTGAGCGGCCAGACGTAGTGGGACTTGCAGTGACATGGCTGTATTCAGAGTTATTCACCCAAGCACTTGAACTCAACGGTTTCTCGTGGTTCCGATGCGATAGACCAAAGAATGCCCACCGTGGTGTCTTGCTTAACATCCGGTCCTCCCTGCGTGGGAGACTTGTGAGCACCTACCGTAGTGACGATGGTTTGGATGAGCTACTGTGGTGCTCCTTCCGCCTCAGGCGCGAAGAACTATTGGGGGCGCATTTTGTCGCAGCCCTCTGCGTTGTGGTTGGATTGCCTGTCTTATCTTCGAACCCACATGAGTTTTCCACACTTTGTACTTTTGGGCGATTTTAACTGTCCTCGAATACGATGGCCGGATGTGCATTTGATGCCCGGATATAACGTGGCTGAAGCGAAGTTTGTGGATTTGGTACTTGAAACTGATTCACCGCAACGTATATGCCAGTCAACAAGCGTAACAACACGCTCAACAACATTCTGCATTGACCTGATTTTAACGAGATACGAACAACGAGTGCTTGACGATCGGATCCTGGAGCTCCTGGCTACAAACGACCGCTCGTTGCTCATATATGTTATGGAATTACATTTGTCGTTTTCAGGTCCGATGGAACCAGTTTAGGGCTACTGGAAAACGGACTTCGATGGTCTAGCTCGATCAGCAAGCCAATTGGATTGGTCTCTGTCCCAAGCTGCATCTTTGGAAGACCGGTAGGTATATATAAAAGAGAGATTGTCATCATTGTGTTCTCAATTTGTTCCATTGCAATGTCGGAATGTTGGACCGGTCAAGTCTTATTTGTTTGACAAAGAGTATGGAAATCTGGCTCCGAAGCAGCGCAAACTGTGGGACAAATTCCTCATCACTGGCTCTCTCAATGCATACGAAAATATAAAAGTCAGTGGACATTTGCGACCGTGCAAAAGGAATAAACGCGATAATTTGAAGAACAGCTCGCAACCGCAGAGAAGACCTTCCCAAAGAGAATATTCGCTTGCGTGATGTGACGCCTGAAACGGGCAGAAGACTTGACAGTGCTGGATGGCTCGGATGGACAGACACTAACATCCAGCACTGAGCGAGCGTACGCGTTGGTGGAGTATTTCTCTGATATATTTGCGAAGGACCGGTTGTCTGTTCCGAGTTCAACATGTACTGCTTTCACAGAACTCGACCGCCTGCATTGCGGCCTTGAAGAGTTATGTCATCCTTGACGGTACGAAACCTGCCGGATCTGATGGGTTTCACCCACGGATTCTCAAGTCACTTTCAGCCATTATCTCTCCTGTTGTGACTGACCTTTTCAACAGGTCGCTGTCCGTAGGTTCGTTGCCGGTTTACTGCAAATGTTCGAAAGTAAAGCTTACTTCGAAAGGCGGTGACCCTAACAAACTAGACAAATACAGGCCAAATTGTCAGACACCTATTTTGGCAAAGGTTTCCGAGAAAATCGTGAACCAGGAATTACTGCAGTTGCTACAGTCAAAAGAGTTTCGGCCGCACGCACAGCACGGTTTTATGCAAGGCCACTCATGCATTACAAACTTGCTTGTGGCGAGGCATGAGTGTTTGAAGGCAATAAGCAAGGGGAAATCTGTCGATGTGATATTCATTAATTTCAGTAGGGCGTCCGACAAGATAAGCCATGGGGTTCTGCTTCACAAAATCACGATGCGTGGTTTCGGTGGAACACTGAATCGGTGGATCCGCGACTTCCTTGTTATACCAAAGTGGATGGTACTGGTCGATGCCCATCTAACTGTTTGGTATCCCACTACAAATGGAATGCCTCAATACACCCTGCTAGGGCCCAATCCGTTCCTGATCCACTTCAAGGATCTACCTCAGCTTATCCGGTCACCGTGCGCCTTGTTTACGGACGACATGAATAGTTGAAGTGAAAATGACGCTCCCGCCTATCCACATGGTCTGCAGCAGTTCATCGCCCGGTCAATCCAACCAAGTCTGCATTTATGAGCCTGGGGAAGGGTGCTAATGGTCAATCGCTATATGCCACACCCTCCGTGAAAGACCTAGTTGTACTCTCGCGCAACGATTTGAACTCCGTGGACAACACCAATAGACCGTCTCTTCACGGACTGCGCATGCTTTGGGAGCTTAAACCTAGCTTCAGCCCATGGTCTGAAGAGGTTGCGACTTGCCTCTTCTCTTTCATCATTAGTCCAATGTCCGAGTACAGTTCGCCGGTCTACGTTCCGATTACTGGAGGGTAGGCACAAAAGATCCAACGGGTCCAACACGTTGTTATTAGGATCATCCCAAATTTGAGTGGCTTGGTTTATGAAGACCTGTGGAGAAAGTAGCAATCTACACCTTTATCATTCTGAACAAATCAATGCAAAACTGATATTTCTAGATGCGACTATTTTATATTACCTGCCTACTCCCTAAATAACAACATAAACCTGTTTCACATGACAGAAAAATCGAAAGTTTGAAAGTGGTCTCAAGCGGGCATTAGATTCGTGAGCTCCAAGGAAGCTTTAGGGAGACTGTTCTTTTTTCTGTACACAAAGGATATTGTGCGGCCGATTAATTGCCACAGCATGAGCGTACCTCAAATCTTTGGGGTTTTCATTTCGGTGGATGAGTGTAAATATCGACAGAGGATCAACCTGATGGCCCGTTTCGATTACATGTCTGGGGACAGATGATACTATCAGCTTAGAGATCTTTTCTTGTACGACAGATTGTTGTGTCGAGAGGTTGCCAATCCGGTTTAAGATATGATCTCCAATGCGCTTACGCAAGGATCAATATTTGCTGCCAACTACTTCCGCACTTACAAACGAATTGGTAAATACAATGGGTATAGACGGAGATAGGCTGAGTAGGCTTCACTGGAGGCATGGACAACTTCCTGGTCTCCCAAATAGGGCAGAATTTTGCGGCGTTGAATGTCCGGCTAATCGCTGTATGTGAACCTCTTTTAATTTGGGCAGACACCATACCACCTTTGAAAGTTCATTGGTGGTAGACCGACAGTTTGGGCACAGTGAGTACCCTAGGCGTAGTTTACATCTGTTGATTGTGAAATCGAATAAACGCCTCAGGATATCCGTTGGCCCATAGCGTCTGTGTCATGAAGAGCATTTCCGATTACAAACAGTCGCCAGTGCATATTATGCGGGCTCGAGTAAACAGCGTGTTGACTAAGCACCGATTGTATTGGATAGGGGCGAAGCTGTCGAAGGGTTCATATAGTCATGTCCATGTAGCTTTCCTTTGTACAGAAAGCCTTATGGAACGGTCTCCTCGTCAGGTCAACAACTTATCCAAAAATAGATAGCGATTGTTATCGTCCAATTCACAGGAGAAACGGGCGTTTGGATGTGCGTTATCGGCCAAATTGAGAAGAACAGAACGACGTTTCCAGAATTTCAAACCTTCGATTTTTCTGTAACATGATTCATATTTATCTTGTTAGTATGCAAGTGATCAGATAACACGAAATGGTTCCAACTAGCAACGCCAGTCCTCTCATTGTCTTGGTTAAAATCATAATTGTTAATTGAGCAGAGGCATTGATAACAGTAACAGACAAATCTTCAAAAGCTATCTTACCGACTGAAATTTGCAATTGTCAAGGATTCGGTCTTATACTTCACGTGAATTATAACTCCATACCCATGCCACCAACAGACAATCAGATCTGAGCATTGCGCAGTTAAGTAGCTGTAATTCATGTTCTGCCATATCCTGAAATAACCTTGCTTTGATGGATGCAACACGGCACGTTGTGACCTGTCAACAAGTACACTAATTGTGTAGTATTGTTTCCATGCGTCGCACATCGTAACATCTCCCTGCGGGAATCGTTAACAACAGCCCATGACTCTGCGCTAAGAAACCGGCTTATGCAGGGCAGAAATGGACCATCGGCATTGTAGCAAATAATCAATTTATCCAAAGTTTTGTTCACAAAAATCCCTCCTGCTTCCGAATTAACTAATGGCGTACTATAATTATATCTGGTTCACAAGTGGGACGTTTTAGATATGCAGTAATATCAGTAACTTTCATTTTGAAAGTGAAAGCATCTTGCCAGCAACCATGATAAAAATTGGTTTTCGTAGCAAGTTTGTCTCACTGAATGCCATTCAACGTAGTTTGATAACAAAGACCGCTGTCGTTTCCAGGCAATAAAACGCCATCATCCATGTGAGCTTTACTACGTCGACTGGTGCTTCACCCCGAGTTTTCCCGAATTTACCTCTCGTATTTGATTTGCAGCTGACGGTGCCAATGCCTGCTTCCTATTAGAAGACCTCTAACCAAATGCAGCTTTGGTTATTTGCTACAAATATAGGGCGTTATTACTTTTTATATCTACTAACTAGACCGAGCACAACCTGATAATCGTAGTCCTGTTTCACCTCTGGCTACCAGGTGCAGGAAACCGTATCAATTTGTGTTCCGATGGAGCAAAACATATCTATGTAATTGTCCACTAAATGTCTGCTAAGATGAGTGATAAATTCTACCCCCAAGAATATGTGTAGTTGTTGTTTAGTTATGGTACAATTACCACTAACAATAATAGAAGCAAATATTGTTAGACTACACTTAGTTAGGCAAGTTCTGCTACACGCTAAATAATCTTTATCATTTGTACAAAGTGGATATGTATAAAAGAAGAAAAACACATGGCGTTTAACAAATATTTGTTTTCTTAGGTGAGAAATTACCGTGTCGAACTCGCATGCACTAAAGAAAGCTAGCTTTGAATATGTTAAATTCCGATGACAGAATTAGTAGATTTATTAGCTGACTAGGATTTGGTGCACAATAAATATTATAGGTATGAAATGCAGCAATCCATTTATATTCATATCGCTTAAATGCGTTATTATTAAAACCAAAATTTAGAAGTGAGCGAAGTGAGGACACACTTAATTTAGATTGCAAAACCCTTGGTGATAACGGGCTCAGCAAATCTAAGTTTAAGGTTTGAGGAAAGTTGTCCGATAAGAACCCAAATGTACTGGCCTTCATTGTTCTCACAAATTATTTTCCCATAAATAATACCGTAAAACATAAAGATATGGCACAATGCGGCAGCTGATTACGTTGCTTATGTAGCTCCATACATTGACCCGAAAATACTGGTGCCGTAATTGGAATTATGTGTCCATGCTGATCGAAATATGATTGTTGGAAGCTAGGTAGCGACAGAATGAAACTGTATGCAGAACAAGAGATCGAACCAGTTAACGTCGCTTGATACATCGCACACAGCCTGCATGTAAGTACGATCTGTAATTGGGAAAATTCAGGATCGTGAGTGGCTTAGACACAAATGCAAATTTTACAAAACGCCGAGCTGGAGGCGACTACTGCTACCATAAACATATATGTGCACATCAAACTGGACTATGTCTTTTGTTTCCAAAAGCAACGAAGGGAACCTATTGTCAAAAATATGAATCTCATAGGGAGGATGAGCCGAAAAATACAGCGTCAACTATATAGGATCGCAAGGAAACCCGGATGGTGAAAAAAAGGAGTTCCTATAATGGGTGGATAGCTGTTCACTCAAATTTGATTAGTTAGAAAAATATGAAGATCTATAAGGTGCCAAATTTGAGAAGGGAAAAGTACGATATAAGATGCTAATCAAACTAAATGCTACGCGGCCATTTATTCGGTTTCATTAATCGGAGGTTCGAATTATACTTAGGTGACCCAGAATTGTATTGCAAAATTATGGACGCAATAAGCCCGGATAAAACGGAGAAATCATTGGTTCAATTTGGTTGATGTGAACAAACCGAATTATAATAGAATTTACAATATTCCTATTTTAGCGACACCATCAACCACGAGTTCAACACGTGAGTGATTATTCTGCGATTTTTGATTGATTTCCGTGTTATCCTAAACAATATTAATTATTGGTGATTCAAAGTAAAGCGACTTGGAACATTCAGAAGATGGATAAGGATTTTTTCGGAACTGTCGGACGACAAATATATCATACTATCTTAGAACCTACATTGTTTTGCCAAGGAGTTACCGACACTTGTAGCAACACAGACTTGTTCAGTTAATATTGAAGTGGTAGGTTTCTACCGCCTAACTAACGTTGTTCCAATTCAATAACTATGGTTTTTATCTTCCATCCACCCTTAATACACATAGTTAAATTTGCAGGGTAAATATGAAATAGTTTGGTTGTTATTCACAGAGTGTGTATTGAGTAATTATAAGGAGATCGTGATGCATATAGTTAAGCTGAATAAAGTCGAGATTCAGAACTTGTCTGTTCTTCTCCACGCCCGCATCTACAGTCGCGTATTTCACCAATACTTTGCTTATATGTACACGTTAAGTCGTGTTTATCATGTCTGTCTACGGACACCAATTGCAACTGAATTGCACTTGTGACATTCAATTTCTAGGGAAGCTTAAATAGCGGATGACAAATGTGTTGATGCAATCCAGTTTCAATTGCGAGTGTTACGACTTGTTTATATTTTGGTATTGGATTTCGGGTGATGTAGGTGACTAAAGTTAAACCGAACACGATTCCGGCCATCAGTATACATAATAGCAATGACCATTTACGTGGTGTGTCAACAAGCAAAACATTAGCGCCTGATCAGTAGTACTCATAATTGCTTCCACCGCATGATTGGAAGGTTGCACTGCTGTATTCTTTGCAAGTACCATTGACATTGTGTGATAAATGTGGTATATCCGAGCCCATGAAATAGTCGTAGACAAGCGCGATTTGAACAACCTACTGAGTAGTTGTGGCTCAAGAATATAAAAAGTAACTCGAAGCGTCGCGACTCTGGGTTCATCACACACCAGTAACATAACTGAACTGGTCACATTCGTCTCTATCCGTTTCAGCCCCAAAACCATCAGTGATTGTACAGCGGTCTAATTACAATACTCTCATTCACGAAGATCACGAATCCGCTACATACATTGTTGACGAGCTTGGGCTGCTTAAGTAACACACTTTTTGCACCTTCTTTCCAGAAACCAGATCCGGAATCATGCAATACCTAACATATATATTTTATATGCCTTATGGTCTTTATGATCTTAAAGCACTGTATTTCTGAAGTACGTGTGATGTTGCGACAGTTATAGATTGTTTTTGATCATTACCTGAAACTTAATAAGCCGTGTGGGTGGATTCCACACCAATCCCCGATATTCCAGTGTAGTTGTTAACCGGATAATAGCAGCATGGGTTAGCTCAGGTGCTATCACAGAGGGGTAAATATGCTCAGATAATGTGCGAGGACGAGGGATAGTTAAGATCTGGTTTTAAAATTTCGCTGTTTGAAGCCGAAACTCCTTCTTGGTGCAAAGAAATGATGTTTATTATGATGTAACGAATTAAGACAGATACTAATTAAAAATAGCTTTTAGCTGCCCTAGATAATATCAGACTTTGCATGATTTTGATCATATGCCAGATATGCCGGTTTGGGCTGTACATTGATTACAAAATGTTATTCTCTCGAGCATGTGTGGATAAATTCCGCGGTTACTGAATATTTCCTGCGTTACTATTCAGTGTCGTGCAACGGAATTCGTAAGCCTCGTTAGAATAAATGGACAACCAGAGTTCTCTTTTTACGCAAAACTCCAGCTTGCGTTGCCCAATACAGAAAGTTGCAGCAATAGATTTGAGATGTTTCCGTAGTCCGCGAGTCAAAAGCTCAGGAATAGCTTTGAGACACATTGGCTTACCATAATATACTTAAATCGCTTGCTTAGGATGAAGATGCTGGGGATGAAATCATGTAATTCTACGAGTGCTTGCAAACACGACAATAGCAAAACACACGAATGAAATACGCTGATGTGGTCTCCATCCGAATGTGCACAACTTGAGGAGGCACATGCACAATTATATGGAAAATCTCCTAAAGAATGTTTCTCTCCAAAGCATTATAAACGTGCATTTCACCTTCAGCATGAAGATATACCGAGAGATTGACGGATTGGCTACATGATCTCCGTTGATAACACCTGTGCTAATCGATGTCTTCATGGGGGAAAATAGAGCGCATCAGAAGAGTCAACCCATATGTACGTTGTGTGTACATGTGTTATGTGTATGCGCTATTAATACACAGTATGTTATGGCACATGTATACTCGTTGAAAATCAGCGAAATCTGTACATCTGATTAAGTGCTTTGAATGCCGGGCTGTACATCATTTCTATGGTAGAATGCCATACAACGTCGACGCTTTACCGAATGAATAATAATAAGATGTGGAGACGGTGGACATACCGCAAAACACAATGCCACAAGCAACCACTCAGGATCAAAGCGCTTTGTTGCGGCTTTCACAGCCCTGCGTAATATTCCGTAATTAACGCTTAAACTACAGCGCTAAACACAATTTAAACAGGCATTCCGACAAGAAGACTGAAGCAGACGCGCAGCTGGTTTCGAATGGGATCCATGTCTTGCCAATTGTAGGTAGAGGTTCATCAGATCTACACTCACTCAGACAGACATCATCCGCCCGGGAAATCACTGTACGGCACTTTCATGCTTTTGTTAATTTTTCTGCTGTGCGCATTACATCAGAAATCAGTAGGGCTAAAGGAAGAAAAAATTTCTTCTCCTCATAGCGAAGCACGCCATCAAGAGCATGGTCATGGTAATACAGATAATTTTGATCGGAAATTACACAAATTAGTACATTTTGACCTATACCATCGAAATGTATGTATGTGTGTTGACGTTTAAAATTGTGTGAGAGTGTATATTTGTAAGTAGGCATGTTGTGTGAGTAGGTAAATGTGACTCTGTGTGCGATTTTGCTCGCTGGGTTCGCCATCAAATGGGGGAATCAAAGGAACGCTTCTAATTTCATGACGTCCGTAAATTGTGAATGATCATCCGGTAAAGGGAAGAGGCAGTGACTTTATTTAGTGGCGAGCCACAGTGTTGTTAAACGGATATCTGTGGATTTTACTAGGGCAAATGCTTACTAGGCATAATTCTAACATATTCTGGAACACTGCCACCTAACCATTTGTTGAAACGGAATTTATCCGAAACACCCACCTGCACGACGGGGAGGTTGTTCAGCTAGCCAGCCCATTACTCGACTGTTTGCAGTCTGTGGGCAAGACGATCAACTCCCCCTAGTAATCTTCTGTAATCAGTATGCAAAACAAACTGGTTGAAATGCCATAAGTTAATTAGCGTCTTAACTTGGTAAGTTCGTCGCTTGGAGAAGGGGCTATCCTGTCATCTGCACGGCAGTAACGTGCAAGTAATTGGATGTTGAGTGGCGCTATATCACATCCGGTAACCTATTCACCTTGGTCCTTGGACTTAAGCACAGACTGGCAACAGTCGAGTTGCTGATTCGAACCTTGGAAGGCTGCTATGGAATGCACACTGCTGACGGTTCCCGAATGAATGAAAAGACCGAGTAAGACTTTTCCGGGCGTGTGATGCCTGTCCGATTTAGTCTAGGTGATAAATTTCTGCATGTATCGTTCAGCTTCACCTATTACTTTTATATAGTTTTAGCATGCCTTGAGCCAGACACAAGGCAGACCACGTAGATTCCATCCTGTAAGGCGAGGTACATCGAACGCACTCAGCTTGGCCGTCAGTGATTTCATGTTTCGCTGCCAAGTCAATTTTTGTCCAACTCGGGCCTTGCGCTCCACTAAGTCTGACAGACTAAACAACAACCTTCATGGCCAGCGGTGAGCTGGCATGCGTAATACGTGCTCTAGCCAAGACAACGCATTTGGCGACATATGCTGCACTAAGGAAATAACAGGATTATCACTGTCTAGTATTCACCTACGCACAACATCGTTTCGAACGCACAGATGCTACCGGACTCTTACAGTGCTCCGCAGACAGCGATGAGCAAAGCCTGGAATGCACCGCGGATACTTAGAGCAAAAAGGAAAATCTCACTCTTATAGATTAGGAAGGCCTACAATGTGGCCATCTAAACACGACCAAGATTTCGGAAACTAAATACGTTTTCTGGACGTTGTCGTTATCAGAAACACGAAAGGATTGTGCAGCCGAATTCTGTATGCAATAAACCTTTGATTGGGAGTACACCATATTTGCAGCGCAGTTGGTTTACTGTGCAAACAGAATGAAATCCGCAATCTGGCTATTGGGTGTGCAGCATTTACACACGGGGCTCCAATACCGAGCAACTGCAGAGGATCAGCCATTCGCTAAGGAAAAATGTGTATTCAGAAAAATATATTCCTACACCTATAGAGAATAAGTTGACCGAAATAAGCGTATTTGGCATTTTCCTTACAACCATTACAGCGCGGATGGCACATTGTCGTAGCTTCGGAAAGACGCAGTTGTACGGACTTAGTTCGCGGCCCTCCTCGCATATCATATTAAAACAGGAATTAACTAAACATTCTATGAATGGTAGACTGCCACTACTGGCTCAGGCAATGCATGTATATCATGCTCGTGCTACTGAGCTACGAGGTATATGATTCATGATATTTAATGCCCACCTAAATTACGTTGCACGAATAGGAACGCAAGAAGAGGTCATATGATATATCTATCATCGTGCACCTGTTAGATAACTCCACGCAGGACCTGAAAGCATCTTCAGGTGCATATGTTCCATTTAAGGAGCGAATCTTGCGTGGCTAACATAAACATATCCCACTATCGCCGAAGCTAGCTTTACTCATCATTTCATGCAGGATTTGTGTGTACAGCTGAGAATTGTACGCCCAGCGGTCGACAGATTCCGTTGCACGATACTGTGATTGGTACTTAAACCAAACCAAATCACGTCTTTGCGCTTGCTATTGTTATAACTGCATATTGATTAGATGGGATTCATGCTAATCTAAAGCAAACTTCCATCTCTTAATATCACCAACTATAAATATTTTACGATTTAAATCCATGAATATAATTTTGAGATATTTTAGGATACAGGTCATCAAACTTTCAGTAAGTAGGCCTAAGGACGACCGGAGCAAAAACACAAATATTCACTTAGTATACGAAAATACGGTTAAGCTGACATACTTGTTAACAAACTAAAACACGTTTTTTTATCCTCAATTTTAAACCGCATTTTGATTGCCTGTATGCCAGTACATATATACCCTAAATTTCATCCACCTATTCTGTTGCTAGTTCGTAGGATGCGAAAAAATTTGCAATTCACCGCTCAAGAGGGAGAGAGTTGTAAAGCAAATATCCATGTTTTATTAATAAGTTGGAAACCGCCGATGCAGTTGATGTGATTTAGTGCGCTTTCATCCATGGCGATTTGGACGAAAGATATTTTCATCTGGCTGCAATGTAACTAGTATTTGTGGTTCATAGAACCAGAGCTTGTGGTTTTGGAGGAAAATATTCGATGACATCTGACTACGGTCTACCTAGCAAGTAGAGCATTGTGGTATGGACAAGATATCTAGGTGCAATGCGCCGTGTTCAGAAACGCAAGTGACAGTCACGCTCCAGCAAGAAGTGAAGTCTTAATGCATTTTGCATTCTGGCGTAAATGTTACGCTGTATGGAGTTAACTATCTCACATCTATAAGAAAGAATATCGAGTGCGATATATTTATTTACAAATGTTTAATGTGAGCACCTCGGCTTAATCAAAATAATTTTAAAAGCATTTTAGCACATCAACACCCAAATGTAACATATAAATTGTAAATTTAATAAAACGTACAACCACAGTTCATTCAAATACCTGAAAAAAATTAGCAGGCTATTCACAATTACGCTTAACGATATTTGGCCATCGGTACGCCGTTCTCAGCCAAGCGTACCTGCACTTAGTAAACACCGAGGCGCACAGTTGATACCCAATTGCTATAGATTTAGTTTAGTGTTAAGATATACTTTGACCAATTGCATTGTACATAAGTGAATGAATATATATTATTCATGGTCGCAACTGTTTAATCACATCGCCTAGAGTCGGTCTAGAACATTAAAATAAAATTTGGCACATCGCATTCCAAATTGCAATCAATGTAATGCACACAAACAAAAGTATACAAATAGTTTGCATTCAATTAGTCGAGAATAGATGTTCAACAGTTTATTCTTTATCAACCTGACATGTATTCAACTGCAGTGTTTCTCTTCTAACGTTCTAATTGCTGACGTTTTAAATCGTTGCCTCTAACAGTACGGCTTTATTTAAAATTCCCTTAATTCAGAACGCACTAAGAAGCCCCAGCTCACGACGCAAACCCCATTGAGTACACAAGCTTCAACAGGTAGGACTGATTCGATTTCAATGTGGTTACAATATAGAGCTCTTGCTTTTGAATATCTTACCTGTTGGTAACTGTCTGATGTCGCGTTTTACATTGTTTTGCTTATTATTCCTATCGATGCGCAGCATTAACAGGAGGGAATTCCTGTCAACTGGCTTATCCTTAATTTGCATGTCCTTTTAGGTATTCAAGTAAATTCTGTGCCTCTCGTTAATTTAGTTGTTCCGAAATGCACAAATGCTCACTACCGTTTGGTTACCATTAATATCATTACTGATGACATCCAGAATGTACCCAAGATCCAAACCAATGCGTTCCTGCTTCTGAGCATCGTTTTGCTATTGCGGATCTTAGTTGGTGGAATGCTCTGTGACTTAAATTTTTGTTTCGTTATAACTAGGATTGCTGGACAACCACTGGTATATGATGCTCTGGTACTCATGCGGATAAAGTCATCACACAACTTAAGCCCTCTGAGTGGCATGCCTACATTTAGATGAGCTATTCGCTAGCAAGTCTTATCATTTGAACTCTTGGTCGTCAATTAGAAAGCGTTGGCTTGAAAGTCAATGTGTGCCGTCATGGTGTTTGGTTATCATTTTGCAGCCAAATAATATCCTCTTTGAGCGATTATGTTTACCGTAATCAGGGTCACTGGAACCACCTGAATTATACAACTGCCCAACTATCTGTTGTATTCAGCTGAGTTCCCCGTAAATGTTGTTCGTGCATGAAGTTGTTGAAGACGTAGTGGATGCCCTCCCCCATTCAGACATAACGACTGCTTTCATTATACCTTCGGATTTACAGTGGTGAAATATAAGGGAATAATTACATCGAAGGCATTCATTCCACGTGAATCGAACATGATAAATATGTGCATAGAAGCAAAATGACCTCGTCTGAGCCAGCACGTATTTACACATTTTAAAATCTCCGTTGAATTTGCATAGCAAAATCGATTTTAGGGGTTTCCGATACCAAAAAGTTCATCACGTTGATAGCAACCATCAATATAGCAAATTTAATGGAATAGTTCTGATAAGCCTTTTGCTCATAAATAGCTGTTTCTGCAGTGTTTGCACGCAGACGTCTGTTCTAAAATACTTTGGTATCACATTCCTCACACTGCCTCTTTATTGACTTTTAATACTCATTTAATTCATTTTACCAATGTTCAACATGGCTAACACTTCGTGTTCAAGTTCAGAATCCGGTGAATATTGTTACTTCGGCGCTTTGTTTGACCAGGCGTTGAGAAATCTAAAGTAGACCATAGCATGTTCAAAAAGTTGGTACCTATTTTTCTTGTTTTGTCTGTCCATGAGGCGCCAGTTACATCAAGTAAACAAGAGATAAGAAAAGAAACCGAAGGACTAGAAGGAAGGTCATTTGAATAAAGGATACTAGCATTAGATAAAGCGAAATTGCAAATCATTGATTATGAAACTCACTGCACGTGGATTGTGGATCGACAGGAGAAAGAATATAATTTGCCTGGCTGCATGCAGGTAGTTGGAGTAAGCTTGTCATTTCAATGCATTAAGGAATGCGATAGTAACCAGTAAAATTGTCTACATGTCCAGTCTGTTGATGATGCACAGCAGGCAAGCCTGAAAATAATAATCCAGTTGGGGCCGAACAAACGTTAACAACCGCACTACAAGAATAGCAAGATTTAAGATTCTGAATTAACAGCACATGAACCAGAATACAGGGTATGCACCACTTGAAGCTCCTTTCCATTTGTCCACAGAACAGAGTGTCAAATAATGGACGACGCTAAAGCTATCTGGAAAGTGAATATTGATGTTTTAATCACGTTGGCCATATAATTCAAAGCAAGACAAACCACTCAAATACGAAGTACAAAACACTTTCTGACACTTGGGCAATAGGTACAAAGCAGACCAGCCCTGTGGCTTAATGTTTTCACACGGGATCGTCTCAGAATCATGCATACTGATCTAGTGTTTCAGTTAATCATAAAATATGCGCGTCCTTATTTCAGGCTTCACAAGAAAGTATGCACAAATAATGAGAACAGCATTGGTCCATAAACCGGACTTTGATAAACATCACTATAATCAGCTTACCTAGGTAGCTCTGCTTCTAGATTTGTGTCATCGCGTTCTATTCGCATTCACTGAAACGTGGCTCTCATCACATCACGGACGGTGAAGTAAATCTGTCTGCCTGCGTACTATCTATATGTGATCGCTTCGCTGGCGGAGAAGGCGGGAACATTGCGCTTTACGTTAGCTGTTGACTTGAAGTTTTGCGTACCTACTTGTTTCAGTCAGCCGATAAAGCTGTCGCAGTTTTGTCGGTAGTGATTAGCACTTCTGCGGCGCAACTTACAATTGTACTTGTGTATAGAATCCCTGGAAGTGTGTCCAAAGCGGTGCTTGATTTTATTCTCTCACAACTAACAAACATGTGTTTTTTTCTGGGGGACTACATATTATCGGACTTTTGCTGGGCAAATCTTTCTTGCAACTCGACGGAAGGTACTTTCGGTGTAGATCTTCTTGAACTTATGCTACAAGTAGCATTGCATCAGTTCATGGACCTACCCACTAGGTACACGGATACCTAAGTACCGCCTATTTTGGATCTAATTTCTGCTAAGTCACTAGACTAGGTTGGAACATAACTTACAGCTCTCCCTTACATGCCAGTGATCAAGTCTGTTTATCATTCAGGTTTATTGTGACCAGACTTCACCAGAGCATCGCTAAACCATATCCAAACCTCTTCCGTGTTAACTATGAGGCAATGCTGAGCAAGGCTTCTAGGTTTTATTGCGAAATCTCGGTGTCTGATACAGTTCAGGCGGCCTGGGACAAACTAAAGTCTTATCTCACTGAAATGTCTACTCCCTAAATCCGGCTTGCGAGGAGAAACAATACAAAATCTCGGATCCCGTGGATAGATAACACTGGAAACTATCTTCCCCAGAAGGGTTTTGAGTGTTGGAGTACCTAACCCGCGGCTTCATCAAATAGCACCTATGATAAGTACTGCCAGACATAAGGAAAGCTCGGCAGTTGTACGCAAAAGAATTGAATGATAGTGGTTCGGAAAATCAGAAGAACTTCGCTTATGTTAAGAGAATCTGTGGTTCAAATTCACTAACTCCAACTTCCATGCTGGCCGAAGGAACTCGTGCGTACGCGGACGCGGACAATTCTCGCGTATTTGGTGAGTAGTATGCACGGGCTTTTGTACTTGAGGCTGCTTTGACTAGCGTTGAACTTGTTCCAAGAGTACCTGAGGGTTTCTATTAGCTGAATTTACTGTGGTAGAAACGCAAGTTCTTAGGCTGCTGCAAGAACTGAACCCTTCTAAAGTAACTAGACCTGATTCAATTCACCCGAAGCTTCCGCATGGTTTGGCGGTGGAAATAAGTGGACCGCTGACGATGGTGTTTTAGAAGTCACCTGACTGCTGTACGTTTCCTTTTGAATGGAAGGAGGCTATCATCAGTCCTATCTTCAAAATTGGCGACAGGTGTCTGTCAGTTTATAATAGACCATTCAGTCTGACTACCAACGTGATTAAACTGCTTGAAATCCTGATGATAGACTCGTTGGAAAGATATCTGTTTAGATTTAATCTACTCAGTAGTGCACAACACGGTTTCCGGACAGGGTTTTCGTGTCTGACGAATTTGTTGCTTGCTCTTGAAATTTGGGCCGAGGCAGCAGGCAATGGTCACGTATTGGATGTGCTCTTCGCCGACTTCTCCAAAGCATTAGATAAGGTGCCCCACTTGAGGCTATCCCAAAAGCTGAGCTCATACGGCGTATCTAGCCGCGTCCTTCACTGGGTATCTGCATTTTTGCAGGGAAGAGAGCCGTGTGTATTTGTGGGTCACAGCTTATCTCTTCGACAAGTGGACCTTAGCGGGGTCCCACAGGGCTCGGTCATTGGACCGAATCTGTTTTCTATCTACCTAAACCATCTCCCTGTTGTTTGCTGAGGACCTTAAGCTACGGAATTGTGTAATTGTCCCTGGGGGTGTTGAGTCCATTAAGCATGCCCTGGACAGGCTCTGGGACTGGTCCACTTTGTGACTACTGCCCATTATTCTGGCTAAGTGTTCCGTCCTTGGTATAGCAGCAATTATCCCATCTTCGAAATACGTGCTCGGTGGGGTCCAACTCCACCTTGTCTCTAACCAGGTCTACCTAGGTGTCATCCATTCCTCATTTTTGCATCCTGGTGACAAATGGAAGCAAACCGCAAGTGGGGGTTTCAGAATGTTGTGGTTAATGCGTAGTCCTTTCGGCGTCTTAACCGCCGCCATATTTGTGAGGTTGTTCTCAGATTTCGTTTGGCTCCATTTGGAATACTGCTTCCAGGCCTGCCCGCCCTGCCTTGCTCGGGACACGATGCAACTCAAGAGGATTTTGGAAGTAGGTACTAAGTTGGTCGAATGGTTACGAGTTCAATCGTACCCCGAGCGTCTATTTCGCTTAGGTATATATTCACTGCACTACTGACGGCTTCGAGGAGACTTAATCCTTACTTACGACATTTTAACAGGGAAGGTTGGACTAGAGTTGAACTAGTTATTTAGCCCGGCTAGGTTGCCTTGTCTCCGCGGTCATCCCATGGCTAGCCGAGCAACTTCCTCGTTATGCCAGCTGGGTGGTTCGGGTAAATCCTGTTCCACCAAATGGTTCGGCGGCAATGTTCCAGGATGTGGTGGGGTTTCGGCCGGGGCAGCGTTCTCCCTATAAAAACCACATATTTCCGTTTAACAACACTGTGACGTAGCGAATATGATTCTCCACTAAATAAAGTCACTACATCTTCCCTTTTCCGGAGGATCATTCAAAGATCACGGAGGTCATTCGATTCGAAGCGATCCATTGATTTCCCACTTTGATGGTGAATTCAACGAACAAAGCACACAGAATCACATTTACCTAATCACACAACATGACTGCCTCCAAGTACAGATATAAACATACTCTTACATGTCAACAAAC